CACAAATGAACAATGCTGCGGTGGTAAAAGCCTTATTGACCGCAGGTGCAGATGTCAATGCACAAAAAAACCATGATGGCAGCAGCCCATTGATGCAGGCGGCCTGGCGCGGCAACAACCAAGTGTTGCCCCTGTTGTTAGCAGCTGGCGCCAAAGTAGATGCTCAAGATCTACAGGGTCAAACGGCCCTTATGTACACGGTAAGCGGCAAAAAACAGCAGCCTGAAAGCGTTAAGGCCTTGCTGAAAGCCGGCGCCAAAGTCAATATGGTAGATCAAGCGGGCAATACGGCCCTAATGGATGCGGCGGTTTACAACTATGCCAACAGTGCCAAACTCCTCCTTGCGGCTGGGGCGGACAAAAACCTTAAAAACAAAAATGGCAAAACTGCCCTAGACCTGGCCAAAATGGAAAAAGCCCAGGCAAGCATCAAACTGCTGCAATAAAACAAGGCGCCCTAGCGGCCGCTTATCCGGCGGGCCGCACGCAAAACAATGCACAAACACGATCACCAGCATAACCACGACCACCATCACCAGGAGCTGCCCCGCGATTTTGGCCCCGCTGACCTAGCCCCCGTCTAGCGTACCAGTTATTTTTCCAAAGAGCACAAACTTCTAGGAGAATGACAGGATGAGAAAAAGCAGATACACAGAGGAACAGATCATTGGATTCCTCAAACAAGCAGAGGGCGGCATGCCAATTGCCGAGCTGGGCAGAAGACATGGCTTCAGCGATGCCAGCTTTTACAAATGGCGAGCCAAATTTGGCGGCATGGACGCCGATGAGGCTAGGCGCTTGCGCGAGTTGGAGGCTGAGAATGGCAAACTCAAACGCTTGTTGGCTGAAGCCCATTTGGACATTCATGCATTAAAAACCGTTCTCGGCTCAAAGTAGCCGCCCCACAAGAGCGCAGGAGCGCAGTGCAAACCATGATCGAGCACTGTCAACTCTCCGAGCGACGTGCCTGCACTCTTGTGGGGCTATCCCGAGATGCCTATCGCAACCCAGCGGCCAGCAGCGCCAGCAATACTGCACTGGCCGCGGCGATCAAAGAAGTGGCCTTGCAACGCAGGCGCTGGGGCTACCGTCTCATTGGTGATTTTTTGCGCCCCAAACATGGGGCCAACCACAAGCGTGTCTGGCGGCTCTACAAGGAGCTTGGTTTGCAAGTGCGTAAACGTCGCAAGAAGAAATCGGGCAACTGCCGCGTGCCACTGGTGGCTGCTCGGTATCTCAATCAGACTTGGAGCATGGACTTTACCAGCGATGCGCTGGACAACGGCAGACGTATCAAATGTCTGGTTGTAGCCGATGACTACAGTCATGAGTGCGTCCAAATCGCCACTGACTTCGGCATGGGTGCACAGTACGTCACGCGCCTGCTCGATGACGCGGCGCGCTTTAGGGGCTACCCGCAGGCTATCCGCACCGACAACGGGCCTGAATTTACCGCACGGGCTTTTCTGGCTTGGACACAGCAGCACGATATCCAGCACATTCTGATTCAACCTGGCAGACCGATGCAAAATGGCTACATTGAGAGTTTGAATGACACCTTACGCGATGAGTGCTTGAACGAAAACGTATTTGAAACGCTCAGGCAAGCCCGAGAGCTATTGAGCCGCTGGCGGGATGATTACAACCAAATCCGACCGCACAGCAGTTGCCAGAGGATGCCGCCGGCACTGTTTGCGGCCAAGATGCGCCAGCAAGAAGCCAGCAGCGCGAACTCAAACAACGCGGAGCAAGCCGTGGGGACAACGCGGTTGCCCACAGCGCAAGGCTGTGGACAAGCGGCAGGGCCGCTGCCCGAGTTGCCCCCACTTCAGACTGACGCGCTTTGTGTGGACGGCCATACGCCTACGGCTGCCGCCCACACGCCGCTTGCCCCACCAACATGAAAAGACTCAATGCAGTAACATTACCCCCCAATTTGGAAGAATGAGTGGTATGCAGATTGGGGGCAGGTCAGTGTAGCATTACCGTGGGTCGAACTACCGTCGCAGCTTCATTCCTGGGACCACGTATTTTTCACTGTCAATTTGGCTGATAAAAAAGCGTGTCTGCTCATAGAACACATTGCCCAGATGCGCTTGGCTTAGCAACGGGTTGCACAAACGCGTGTAACGCGGATACCATAAGGCAGACCAAGCGAAGCGCAATCGACCACGGCGTATCAGCGGCATACCCATTTTTGACAATTGTAGTCTATAGACTACAATTGCGCTCATGATGGATATTCAGGAGACCGATGTTTTTCGTACATGGCGTCTGCGGCTCAGGGATAGGCGGGCACGTGTGCTGATTGCTTCTCGCCTTGACCGCCTTGCTTTTGGCCATACAGGCGATGTGGAGCCCGTTGGTCAAGGGCTTAGCGAATTGCGTATTCATTATGGGCCTGGGTATCGTATTTACTTTCAAAGACAAGGGGATACGATCATCATCTTGTTGTGCGGTGGTGATAAAAGTACGCAAGATAAGGATGTGAAGACGGCAAAGCGTTTAGCCAAGGAATGGAGTGTGTGAGATGACTAAGAAGTTAAGCAGCTATGATCCGGCTGAGGATTTAGATTCTGAAGAAACTATTGCCATTTTTATGTCTGAAGCATTTAAGACGAACGATGTGGCCTATGTCTCGCACGCGCTGGGCGTGGTTGCCCGCGCCAAAGGGATGGCCCAAATTGCCAGCCAGACGGGGCTTTCCCGCGAACAGCTTTACCGCTCTTTCAGCAAGAATGGCAACCCCACCTTAAAAACCACTTTGGCCGTGATGAAGGCTCTGGGCATTGAGTTAGTCGCCAGTCAAAGTGCGGCCTACCCCCGCGGTTTATCCTAAAAACGGCTTTGACCTCTGAATATTCTGATCAAGGTTTTGTATTGGCAGAGTTTTTGGTTTTTTGAATGCTCACCGCGTTGGTGAGAACGTTTGTAGTCGCAATCACTGCGTATTTGGGGCGATATGCTCCGTCGCGGCTTTATCGTTTCCATAGCAAAAATCTTTATGCTTTTTGCTGCGTTTTTTGTAGGGCCTGTACAGAGTAAGAGGGCGCGGG